CAGCTATTCACTCCACACTCTCACACCCTAATTACTGTTGCTGTTTTTGCCAAATATGATTTTTTTTGGGGATTGGTGAGCAATTTCCTGATAGTTTTCCTTCGGGAGGTTTCCTTTTTTCGTCAAAACGTCAAAAGCGACTTCGTTTAAGCGTCGCAGTGGGTTTATAGCAGCCGTTGTTGTTAATTTAATTAACACAGTTTTAATTAAGAAAGTAAACAGCAGAAGTCATTAATTAATATCACTTTGAATCGATAGTGCTGCTATCGATAACTGTGGGCAGTGTGGGGCAGAATGTAAAGCTTAGAGACCGTATACCATTTAGTGCTCAACAACGTTCTGTAACAACGATGTAAAAATCTTAACAAGGTACCAACGAAAATAAATTCATTCTTTATCCTTAAACTACTTATATTATTTAATGTATTCACCTTACACATTTGTAATTTAGAAATGTAATTTTCTTATTTAGTTACTATATATAAACTTATCATATTAACAACACAACCCACGTTACAGTGTGACCATTCTCTCCGCAATCATCTGTTTATATCGGTTGTTGTTGGGTTGTTTTTGCCATCTAATTGGCTTCCCACCGGTTGCAATGAAAATATATTTCCTGCTGCTCTTGGCTCTCCCTATCGCCCAGTTGGACGCCTCAAAGTCCGGCACATCCGACCAAGCGACCATTGTCGAGTGCCCCGGACGCAGTGTGCCCCAGATCCGGTCGGAAGCATCAGAGTCCGAGATCTCGCTGCTTTTTTACTACGTGTCCTGGGCCAGCGAAGCACGTCAGGCACGACTGGTCTACAATGGAATGGCCCACTACTACCAGGAGTACGCCTTCTTCGGAGCCATCGATTGCTGGCACTTACAGTGCAATTGCAGTCGTACTTTAATGCCGGCATCCGGAGTCGCCGGCGCAGGCGGTTATCCTGACAAATGGCCGACACTGGTCGTGCGTTACGGCCAGAAGCAGTTGCTGCAGTACCAGGGTTCGTGGAGCTTTGAGGAGCTCGCCCGGTTCATGAATAACCTGCTTCAGCCACTGGACCGGGCACACAGTAGTCAGAATCTTGCCGCCATTCGAAAGCACTCGGATGCCGTGGTTCTGGGACTGCTCGACTCGCCGGACGACAAGGCCTACAAGCTATACTTGGCAGCCAGTCTGCGCTGGCTGGAACTGGATCCCGAGAGGAATATCCGCTTCACCGTGAACTTTGGCAACAGTGCCAGGAAGATGTGGAAGTCTTTAGACGCCAAGCTGCCCCAGTTTGTAGTTATCGACAGCCGAAATGGAGTTCATACGTTTAATGGTACTTCCGGAGTCTGGAAGTCCATGGACATTTTGCGCTGGGTACGGAGCACCCTCAAAAATATGTCGCTGTTTTCCAATGGCTATGGCAATCCTATGACCATTGCCATGAAGGCGCGACATGTTCCCGTGCTAGCTATGGGAGTTCGAATGAACCAATATCACCATGCAAGTGTCATGGGTGAGGAGTTGGCTAACGCTCAAAAAAAGCAGTCGGAGGGATGCGAGAATTACTGGAAAAAGATGGAGGAGCAATCTGAAGGCTCCCCCTCCCTAATGCAAGTTCCCAAGGAGCTGTTTCGGGATTGTGAACAAACCCGGAGTTGTTATCCTGCCTGGAGTAAAAACAAGGCCGTACTGAAGAATTATTATCGGATTAACAAGTATCTTAACCACCTATGGAGGCAGTACTCACACCATAATCATCCAAGTTATCGAAACGTCCCCCACTTGCTGCGGCTGCACTCCAGAAACCTTTGCCTGGCACACTCACAGCATGGAACGCCGGCCATAAAAATTGGCATTGCCAAGATGGTAACCAAATATGGCCAGCTCATTTGGCAGCATTCTACTGAGCACGCAGCACACAATCGTTCGCTGGGCGTGGTGATCTTCGATTCTGTGAAATATAGAGACTATTTACATCAGCTTGGCATTCAACAGCAGCATCAGCAAGTGCAGGCTTTCATCTTGGATGCGGCAGAAGAGTCGCTGTATGTTATGCCACAACAACACACATTCTCCTACGTAGCTCTCAAGGATTTTATACGGCAGTTTTACGCCAGAACTTTGCCAAGGACTCACAAGAATGGTCCTGCCATGATGGATTCTGGGTTCAGTAAAAAATACAACAGGCAAATGCTGTTGCAGGCGCTTCAGCGACCAAATGCCACCAATGTGGTATTTATACACCGTCCTGACTGCGCTCTGTCCGCCGTTCTATCCCAAGCATTTCTGCAGGTTTCGGCGCTACTGAGCAGCCCCGAGGTGCACTTCATACGCTTCGATAGCCAGGCGAATGACTTGCCCTGGGAGCTGGCCATGCCAATCACGCCCTCTCTAATTGTCTTCCCCCAGGTAAAGACCGCGGAATCCGTGGTGTTCCCGACCGATGTGCGGATTGATGTGCAAAGCGTTTTTGCCTTCGTGATCGCCCAATTGGAGCCGGAGCAGCAGGTGCGTTCGGTCCTGACCAGCTGCAGGCGGCGGATGCGAAACGTTAGGAGCTGTCTTGACTTTGCCCGCAACCTGGTACTGCAGCACGTTAGCCAATACCTCAAATTCTGGGAGATCTATGAACGTGAGCGGGACGCCATTCTTTCCCACCTAAAGGAGTTCAACAACCTCCACATGTCCATCGAAAGTAGCATTCGATTATAGCGAAATCCCTCTAAAAAATATAACTTTAGTTAGTAGTTACCGTTGATAATTCCAGGATAGGCAGCTGCCCACCTGCTCTCCTTTAGCACGTAAGTCTAAAGTTGTCTCTTCATAAGGTATTTAACAATCATAGTTGTATAAAGTTACATATAAAAAAGATAAATCAATTTTAAGCTTTATTATTTTTTTAAACAAAGCTTAGGCACAATCTAGTTAACATTTATCCCTTACAAGTTCTGTTATGCAGCAAGATATTTGCTTATTCAACATCGGATATAAACAATTATATCTGCTGTGCCCTTGGAAATAAACAACATTTGTGCAAGTACGAATTTTTTCTAATAAGCAAATGGAAAGAAGAACAGTTCGGCCAAATGATTATAGGTTCCATATGACTGAGCAAGGCGAAGTTTTTGTAGCAGAGTCTCTGCGCCTATTAGACATTTTTTGATTTCCTTTTGATTCATACGTTGGAGAACATTGTGATCCTTTGCCAAAAAGAACTCCAGCCTCCGAGTTCTTAGATGATCCACCAAATGACTCCACATCTCAACTAAAAGGGTGCCCAAGTCCCTTTCCCAGTCAGCACTTTTGATTCGATTAAGCAAGACAGCTTTCAACATGTAGCTGGACAAGTGAGGCAACTTCGAGGCGTGGGCGTCCCGCAATCCTTTCATTAGCCGAAGGACGTTCTTCAAATTATTCGTGTCCTTCATAATTTCGCGCTCCCAATGTGGAGCACAAACCATGAATGTGCATTTCGACTTCTTCTTCTTTTGCGGAATGGCGAACCAAGCCCATTTTTCGCGAGTCTCAGCAGGAACCGGGCAAAAAGCAAACGGCCATTGGCTTCCAGAGAATTCGAATGCCGGTACTAAATCAAAAGATATCGAGCGACTACCAGAGGTGGCCAAAATGGTGTGGGCACAACCATACCCCTCAAGAGTGTAGCTCAATTTGTAGACTCGTCCCCTGGTAGTGGCAAATGTCTTATACGAATCGAATACCTTGCGGAACGCTAGGCGTAGCCAATGCTGAAGATGAGTACGATTGATGAGTTGGGGACTGAATACGTGGAAATTACCCTTTAAACGGACAAACCCTTCGCCGAACGGTTCCGGTTGGATATCATACGGGAATTTTAGTTTCATGTGCAGGTCAAATTCATCGGGCACGTTTAGCTTGACGCAATCCAAGTAACTTCCTGAAAAAAAAGTGCTTACATTTATTTGTATGTAGTACATACATATGTACAAAGATAATGATGCATTTAGCAAAGCACAAGATTTCTTGCAAAAATTATCTGACTCATAAAACTCGAGCAGTAGTTATCAATCAATATGTACTTAGTAATTGTATAACTTTCGGATGTATCGACTTAAATTTTTATTACTTCTTGGAAGTAAAGTAGCCGATTTTAAGATAATATTGAATCGACTAGATTAGACTGAGATAATCGAATATACAAATATATATACATATACGTATACAACATATTAAAATTATATAACATATAATATTTAAAATTAAATATTTTAAAATTAAAAATTTAATTAAATTAAACTTACCGCCTAGACTGAGTCCGTCGAATACCTGGCGAAAGGTATCGTCGACCCTTTTAAGTTCGTCAACAACGTAGTTTTGTATTTCCTCCGAATCCTTTGTATATGCTGCCCTTTCATTATCAGGAATTAACAGTTTTTCAAGAATTTGTTGAAAATGCTTAGCGGAACTCATTTTTTCGCGGAATCCAAATTTGAACTTACAAAAAGAAGCTTTTGAAAACGAATGGCTGCTCTTTTCGGGTTTCCGCTTTTATTGTCTAGCCTCATTTGTTGTACAGCACTGCTTCTTCGCTCTGAGGTATGGTGAAAACGCAATTTCACCATCTGCCCCGACTACCAATACTACAGTGATGTCCGTGTGTGTGTGTGTGTGGGTGTAAGGGAACGCTGGGCTTAGTTGTTGTTTCTCCAAAGGCGAAGGCCGTACGGTAAATTATTCACTGATTTAACTATTCAGCTATTCACTCCACACTCTCACACCCTAATTACTGTTGCTGTTTTTGCCAAATATGATTTTTTTTGGGGATTGGTGAGCAATTTCCTGATAGTTTTCCTTCGGGAGGTTTCCTTTTTTCGTCAAAACGTCAAAAGCGACTTCGTTTAAGCGTCGCAGTGGGTTTATAGCAGCCGTTGTTGTTAATTTAATTAACACAGTTTTAATTAAGAAAGTAAACAGCAGAAGTCATTAATTAATATCACTTTGAATCGATAGTGCTGCTATCGATAACTGTGGGCAGTGTGGGGCAGAATGTAAAGCTTAGAGACCGTATACCATTTAGTGCTCAACAACGTTCTGTAACAACGATGTAAAAATCTTAACAAGGTACCAACGAAAATAAATTCATTCTTTATCCTTAAACTACTTATATTATTTAATGTATTCACCTTACACATTTGTAATTTAGAAATGTAATTTTCTTATTTAGTTACTATATATAAACTTATCATATTAACAACACAACCCACGTTACAGTGTGACCATTCTCTCCGCAATCATCTGTTTATATCGGTTGTTGTTGGGTTGTTTTTGCCATCTAATTGGCTTCCCACCGGTTGCAATGAAAATATATTTCCTGCTGCTCTTGGCTCTCCCTATCGCCCAGTTGGACGCCTCAAAGTCCGGCACATCCGACCAAGCGACCATTGTCGAGTGCCCCGGACGCAGTGTGCCCCAGATCCGGTCGGAAGCATCAGAGTCCGAGATCTCGCTGCTTTTTTACTACGTGTCCTGGGCCAGCGAAGCACGTCAGGCACGACTGGTCTACAATGGAATGGCCCACTACTACCAGGAGTACGCCTTCTTCGGAGCCATCGATTGCTGGCACTTACAGTGCAATTGCAGTCGTACTTTAATGCCGGCATCCGGAGTCGCCGGCGCAGGCGGTTATCCTGACAAATGGCCGACACTGGTCGTGCGTTACGGCCAGAAGCAGTTGCTGCAGTACCAGGGTTCGTGGAGCTTTGAGGAGCTCGCCCGGTTCATGAATAACCTGCTTCAGCCACTGGACCGGGCACACAGTAGTCAGAATCTTGCCGCCATTCGAAAGCACTCGGATGCCGTGGTTCTGGGACTGCTCGACTCGCCGGACGACAAGGCCTACAAGCTATACTTGGCAGCCAGTCTGCGCTGGCTGGAACTGGATCCCGAGAGGAATATCCGCTTCACCGTGAACTTTGGCAACAGTGCCAGGAAGATGTGGAAGTCTTTAGACGCCAAGCTGCCCCAGTTTGTAGTTATCGACAGCCGAAATGGAGTTCATACGTTTAATGGTACTTCCGGAGTCTGGAAGTCCATGGACATTTTGCGCTGGGTACGGAGCACCCTCAAAAATATGTCGCTGTTTTCCAATAGCTATGGCAATCCTATGACCATTGCCATGAAGGCGCGACATGTTCCCGTGCTAGCTATGGGAGTTCGAATGAACCAATATCACCATGCAAGTGTCATGGGTGAGGAGTTGGCTAACGCTCAAAAAAAGCAGTCGGAGGGATGCGAGAATTACTGGAAAAAGATGGAGGAGCAATCTGAAGGCTCCCCCTCCCTAATGCAAGTTCCCAAGGAGCTGTTTCGGGATTGTGAACAAACCCGGAGTTGTTATCCTGCCTGGAGTAAAAACAAGGCCGTACTGAAGAATTATTATCGGATTAACAAGTATCTTAACCACCTATGGAGGCAGTACTCACACCATAATCATCCAAGTTATCGAAACGTCCCCCACTTGCTGCGGCTGCACTCCAGAAACCTTTGCCTGGCACACTCACAGCATGGAACGCCGGCCATAAAAATTGGCATTGCCAAGATGGTAACCAAATATGGCCAGCTCATTTGGCAGCATTCTACTGAGCACGCAGCACACAATCGTTCGCTGGGCGTGGTGATCTTCGATTCTGTGAAATATAGAGACTATTTACATCAGCTTGGCATTCAACAGCAGCATCAGCAAGTGCAGGCTTTCATCTTGGATGCGGCAGAAGAGTCGCTGTATGTTATGCCACAACAACACACATTCTCCTACGTAGCTCTCAAGGATTTTATACGGCAGTTTTACGCCAGAACTTTGCCAAGGACTCACAAGAATGGTCCTGCCATGATGGATTCTGGGTTCAGTAAAAAATACAACAGGCAAATGCTGTTGCAGGCGCTTCAGCGACCAAATGCCACCAATGTGGTATTTATACACCGTCCTGACTGCGCTCTGTCCGCCGTTCTATCCCAAGCATTTCTGCAGGTTTCGGCGCTACTGAGCAGCCCCGAGGTGCACTTCATACGCTTCGATAGCCAGGCGAATGACTTGCCCTGGGAGCTGGCCATGCCAATCACGCCCTCTCTAATTGTCTTCCCCCAGGTAAAGACCGCGGAATCCGTGGTGTTCCCGACCGATGTGCGGATTGATGTGCAAAGCGTTTTTGCCTTCGTGATCGCCCAATTGGAGCCGGAGCAGCAGGTGCGTTCGGTCCTGACCAGCTGCAGGCGGCGGATGCGAAACGTTAGGAGCTGTCTTGACTTTGCCCGCAACCTGGTACTGCAGCACGTTAGCCAATACCTCAAATTCTGGGAGATCTATGAACGTGAGCGGGACGCCATTCTTTCCCACCTAAAGGAGTTCAACAACCTCCACATGTCCATCGAAAGTAGCATTCGATTATAGCGAAATCCCTCTAAAAAATATAACTTTAGTTAGTAGTTACCGTTGATAATTCCAGGATAGGCAGCTGCCCACCTGCTCTCCTTTAGCACGTAAGTCTAAAGTTGTCTCTTCATAAGGTATTTAACAATCATAGTTGTATAAAGTTACATATAAAAAAGATAAATCAATTTTAAGCTTTATTATTTTTTTAAACAAAGCTTAGGCACAATCTAGTTAACATTTATCCCTTACAAGTTCTGTTATGCAGCAAGATATTTGCTTATTCAACATCGGATATAAACAATTATATCTGCTGTGCCCTTGGAAATAAACAACATTTGTGCAAGTACGAATTTTTTCTAATAAGCAAATGGAAAGAAGAACAGTTCGGCCAAATGATTATAGGTTCCATATGACTGAGCAAGGCGAAGTTTTTGTAGCAGAGTCTCTGCGCCTATTAGACATTTTTTGATTTCCTTTTGATTCATACGTTGGAGAACATTGTGATCCTTTGCCAAAAAGAACTCCAGCCTCCGAGTTCTTAGATGATCCACCAAATGACTCCACATCTCAACTAAAAGGGTGCCCAAGTCCCTTTCCCAGTCAGCACTTTTGATTCGATTAAGCAAGACAGCTTTCAACATGTAGCTGGACAAGTGAGGCAACTTCGAGGCGTGGGCGTCCCGCAATCCTTTCATTAGCCGAAGGACGTTCTTCAAATTATTCGTGTCCTTCATAATTTCGCGCTCCCAATGTGGAGCACAAACCATGAATGTGCATTTCGGCTTCGTCTTCTTTTGCGGAATGGCGAACCAAGCCCATTTTTCGCGAGTCTCAGCAGGAACCGGGCAAAAAGCAAACGGCCATTGGCTTCCAGAGAATTCGAATGCCGGTACTAAATCAAAAGATATCGAGCGACTACCAGAGATGGCCAAAATGGTGTGGGCACAACCATACCCCTCAAGAGTGTAGCTCAATTTGTAGACTCGTCCCCTGGTAGTGGCAAATGTCTTATACGAATCGAATACCTTGCGGAACGCTAGGCGTAGCCAATGCTGAAGATGAGTACGATTGATGAGTTGGGGACTGATTACGTGGAAATTACCCTTTAAACGGACAAACCCTTCGCCGATCGGTTCCGGTTGGATATCATACGGGAATTTTAGTTTCATGTGCAGGTCAAATTCATCGGGCACGTTTAGCTTGACGCAATCCAAGTAACTTCCTGAAAAAAAAGTGCTTACATTTATTTGTATGTAGTACATACATATGTACAAAGATAATGATGCATTTAGCAAAGCACAAGATTTCTTGCAAAAATTATCTGACTCATAAAACTCGAGCAGTAGTTATCAATCAATATGTACTTAGTAATTGTATAACTTTCGGATGTATCGACTTAAATTTTTATTACTTCTTGGAAGTAAAGTAGCCGATTTTAAGATAATATTGAATCGACTAGATTAGACTGAGATAATCGAATATACAAATATATATACATATACGTATACAACATATTAAAATTATATAACATATAATATTTAAAATTAAATATTTTAAAATTAAAAATTTAATTAAATTAAACTTACCGCCTAGACTGAGTCCGTCGAATACCTGGCGAAAGGTATCGTCGACCCTTTTAAGTTCGTCAACAACGTAGTTTTGTATTTCCTCCGAATCCTTTGTATATGCTGCCCTTTCATTATCAGGAATTAACAGTTTTTCAAGAATTTGTTGAAAATGCTTAGCGGAACTCATTTTTTCGCGGAATCCAAATTTGAACTTACAAAAAGAAGCTTTTGAAAACGAATGGCTGCTCTTTTCGGGTTTCCGCTTTTATTGTCTAGCCTCATTTGTTGTACAGCACTGCTTCTTCGCTCTGAGGTATGGTGAAAACGCAATTTCACCATCTGCCCCGACTACCAATACTACAGTGATGCCAATATTTTTCTTAAAAAAAGGACAGATTGAAAATTAAAAAAAAAAAGGATGAAAAAACAGGACAGATTTTTTTTATGTTTATTATTTATTTAGTTAACTTTTAATTTAATATTTTAAATGTTTCGTCCACGACGCATTCGTCCTCAACGTTTGATTCATACGTTGCCATTGTTCCAATGCGTTTCAAATACATTTCGGGTTTTTAGATGGGTTGGGGCTGTTTGACATTATTTCCGGATGAAGCAGTAAAAAACAGGACAGATCTGTCCGGAAAAAGGCTAAATTGGCATCACTGCAACACTATATCACTATTCTATGCATCTACAAAAATGTCTGAAAATATAAATGTTAAATATCACAGCACAGACAGGAAAATCCGGACCAAGAATGTCCAGGATACAGAGACCAAGATTACCCCGCGGAGCTCCAAGTACAAAAAGCAACATAGGAAACCGGATCAGCAAGCGTCTCTCATGGACTTTGTCATTAAGCCGAGACCAAAAACACAAAGGCAAACTAAAGCAAATAAACTTCAAAAGGCGCATTTAACCATAACAAGGAGTAGCTACATAGTATACAAACCCAAGGGCAAAACCCGCGTTGATCCCAAGAAGAAAATCACCAGGTTGAAGAGGTCAGTACGGGTATATCGCACCTCAAAGAAGGCGGAAAGAGAAGCCGCAGAGCAAGAACTTAAAGTAGTTCCAGAAATTGCTGTAGATATCGATCCGAAAGCTATTCCGGTGGAGCAACAAGTCCAAAACCTATCACTTAGTGAAACCACTACACACAAAGATGATTCACAATCAAAGACAGTGCATTCTATTCACTCACGGCGATTTAGAAGGTTTGGTTCTATTGTTTGTACCTTCTATAAACGTCAAAACATCATGTTTGATCTCCCCCAGCTATTGTGACAACTGCACCCGCCCTCGCCTCAAGGAGTTGACCATTCAGTTGCTAAAGGACCTGGATCGCTTTCAAAAGCGCGCTTTTGCCAAAAACGAGATTAAAGCGCGGGCACATCCCCGCTTGGTTTTGGGTGTTCGAGAGGCTCTGGCTAGGTTAAGGATAAACAAGGTAAAACTGTTGTTTCTGGCCACAGACTGCGAGATCTGCCCCGGAGAAAGTGAGTAGTCCAATTGTTCGGAAAGCAGCAGATAACAATATCCGCTTTCGAAGGTGGTCTAGATGAGACTATAGAAGGCTTAAAATTTCAATGCCAGCAGCAACAAGTGCCCTATTGTTTTTCTCTGCTGAGAAGGGAGCTTTCTTATGCCCTCCAAAAGCGAGCACAGATTTGTTGCGTGGCTATCCTTGACTTCGACGGAGCAAACGCCATCTACGCAGATCTTCTTAATGAAATAGAGGACGCACGTGCGGAGTACAAACGCAGAACTGCGACGTGAGGGTTTATTTGGTGACAAAGATAGAAATAAAAGTGCCATGACGTGCTCGAAACATCGAGAAAAATATTCAAGAAAACAAAGCTTTAGCCCGTCGGTGTCATGGTGGTGGTGACGAAATCATGCAGCGTCGAGCTAATATTATCCATATCGGTGGCGGCACCAACCAAGCCAGCGGTGTCATTAAGCGAGTTAAACGTCTGGATGGCCTCTTTGGCTTGCTGGGCGGCCAAATTGAACTGAATCAGGATTATCAAGTAGCTAGTGATCCCGCCACTCACTCCATACAATGTTTCCATGTCCAGAGTAAAGAAGCCACAAGCAGAGAAGTCCACCGAGTGGTTAAGCAATTTCAGCGATAGGTGGTTAACTATTTCGTAGAGAAGATTATCATCTGCCACTACGCCGCACTTGTGCAGACTGATTCCCGTGCGCTTGGAGGCCTGCGACGTTTTCCAACTCAGGTAGATGAGGTACACACATTTTCCGGACGTATAACTTAGAACTATTACAGTGATGAAGGGATTCTTGGCGGAACGAAAAAGCGATGGAATCGATTGGTTCTGTGTGGCACAGTAGAGGAAATATAGTTGGGCAGTGAAAATTAGGAACCCATAGGCCATTAGGGATAGGATGGGATAGCTCCACAGCTCGTTCAAAGCCTTTCCGATCTCACAGATCTCGTCGTGAACCTGGCACAGGTTGTTCAGTTTCTCCTCCACCTTAGCGACATTTCCAAGCTCACTTTCTTGGACCATGTTAGAGGGCAAGGGAGGCGGTGGAGCCTTCCTGCTGGCCGCATTAATTGCTTCGCCAAAGGAGTTCATGGAGTGGGCCACTGGTGCTACCTTGTTTTTCCCCGAACCAGATACCGAACTCCTGCCAATAGAACCAATGTCCAAACCTCCTAGTTCCTTATACAGATACTCCAGGTTGCTGTCATACTGAGGCGGCTGGGAGTTGTCTAGAGGTGGCGGAACCTGTTGATCGCCTCGGAGCCACAGCTTATGCTTCTCGTGCGTGTCCACCAGCTCCTCTAGGTTAGCGTTTATGGCCTCAAAGCGTTCTTTCAACGCATATAACGAAACAGCGAACCAGATCTTGTCAAGCGTGTTGATGAACGTGGGAATGGCGGAAATTATCCATAACACTGACATCCATTGACTATAGTCCACCAGCTTGACGTAGGTAGTCAACAAAATGGTCAATTCAAAGATGACCGTCATAATCAGCATAATCCGTATGCGCCGTCCAATTGTGGTGTTGTCCATAACACACCCCTCTTTGTAAAGGCGCTCATCCACTAGACGGATGCGCTCGTAAAGCTCTCCTATTCTACCCTGGTTACGTAACGCAGTCAACTGGTCTGAAGCCATCATAATGAGACCGATATAGGTTAGAAACAAGCCAATCACAAAGGTCAAGGTGCCTGGGAAGAATAAATAACAGAGTTTTGAGTGTACACCTTCCAAGGTTTATGCTGAGGGTTTATACTGACTTTGCGAGGCCTTTAGGGTGCGGTCCTCCTCCCCAAAGGAGTATATCAAAATATTGTAGAGCACGACGTAGAGTATCAGAGTACTTAGCATGTAAATCATGCCATTGCGGGATTTCTCCAGCAGATTCCTACAGCGAAACTTTTCGAGATCCTGCGGCAGAATTCCAGCTATTTTGGATATGAAGAACAGTTGCTGGAACTGCTGCAATAGTGGTTCAACTGTGTCCTCTGCCTGCGCCATGTTGTCCGTTAAACACTACAACTTTGAATGACCGACTCAGGTTAACATTAAGCTATAACCTGCAGCTTGCACTTAGCCTAATTAATTGACCCTTTCGCCCCAATCGATACTATCAACATGGTCAATCTACTGCGCCATGTTTGGACAACAAATGCGGTTGAGCTGACTTCTTGTGGCATTTATTAAATGAGAAAATTTCATGGGTTTTATACTGGATATATGTCTGTAAATTTAAAGCCAAATGTACACGGCATTATTTTTTTTTATACGGATAAATTTGTAGAATCAGAAAACTGCCAACCTCCAAATTCCGTGTCAGATGTTTTACTTGTGGTGGCTGGTACAAATACAGGTTTATTTAGTTTCTCTTACGGCGTTCATTCTGTTTTCGCTCCTCCTGCAAATAATTAAGGACATTACTGAATTGCCTTTAAACTGTGCCGAAGCAAAGGACATAAATATAGTTTCACAAACAGCTGGAGAACTTTGCAAAAAGTTTCATTGGCAGTTTTTGGAAATAAATATACTTCCCACAAGCGGTTCATAAAGACCTAAGGATCCTAGCCTGACTTTGTGAAAGTATACTTATTGCCTTGGCTGCAGGAAATACCGTTTTTAGTGGGTTTTCACAGAAAATTTTATACTGGAGGATTTTGCAAAGTGATCAGCTAATTCGAACGATTCGCTACGGCTTGAACTGCCTTAAACCATGAAGGTCTTGAGCTGGGTGAGGGGTGAGGGGGCTATATAACAACTGATCGTTGGGGAAACCCATGTCGCGGGAACCTACCTTCTGCGTCAGGATAATCAGCAACCGGCGGAACATGCTGAGTACATCGAAGAACAAATCTAAAGCGTGCTGCACTACATCTCGGTTTCCGTTTCGGCACTTCTCAACAATGTTCTGTGTGTCGTAGACGATGAAGGCAGCCATTACGAAAACGCCTACATAGAGTTGAGTCTAAAAGGCAAAAATAAAATGTTTAATAATGTAATTATATAATATATTTTTACACTAAAAAAATATATATGCCTTGAAATAAAAGATCTATTTAGGTGTTTTTGCAAAATGTTTTATACAAATGAATACTCATCAAAATAACATAAAACTATTTATAAATAATCTAGAAGATGTAGCACATTTTTAAAGATAATAGAAGATAGGAAAGGGAGACAAATTGCCACTCACCACTTGTACGAAGTAAGACTTGAAGACCATGTTAAAGAGACTCAGCAGTGCCATAGTGTTGATGACGCTAACTAGCATCCCACCCAGATAGAGGTACTTGCCCTGCTCGGCCAGAAGGGCGGCCAAGGAGAGCGAGATGAAGGTGACGAATGTGCCTGTAAGGGCAGACAGGATTATGGCCGGATTGATGCTGCATATATAGCCGAGAAGCGGTCCGAGAGTTTGGCCGGAACAGAATCCGAAGGCGTAGAGCATGCCCAAACGTGTGTAGTAGTTCTTGCCGTCGTCCTTGTAAAAGTGCAGACCCAAAACCAGGATAAGAGTGGCCACCGCTGCCAGGACTCCAAGATCGAGAAAGTCACGCATCTGGAGGAGGGCTCCCATGGCCGTGGCAGCGGCAGTGCTGCCCAGGACCATGTAGACCTTTGACAGGTGCTCGCGCACATAAGGCTCACTAGGAAAAAGAGAAGGAGGAGAACCATTAGTTTCAAGGTCCATCGATCCGATGGCCAACTGTTGATGTGGTTGAATACCAAAAAAACACGTCAGTGCGACGCACTTGGACCCTAGACCTTTTTGGGGGGTGACCCATCGGAATGTCATACTTACTAACGGTCGCCGAGGCCGTTCATGAACGTCTGGAAACGGTCTTGGATGTAATTTGCAGTATCTGCCATTATGGTATTTTATCGCGTTTGCTCTTCCTATTTTCCGGTAATATTATACTTCAGTTTGTCGTTCAAACGGAGGAGTGAATTTGAACTGTTGTATCGATGTATTAAAACTGACTGTTTACTTTGTCAGGCCTACTCGGCTCTTCTTTTTCGCCTTTTCTTTCTGTATTTCACAAAAACTGTTTTATCAGCATCTAGTGTTGAGTAAGGTTTTATCGACTAGTGCTGACGACGTACTTTTTACCGCTACATTTAGGTCTTAGCTATATGAATAAGTCACCATATATGTATACGTAGACATACTAATTGATTTAACTGATTTAATCATTTAAAATGATTGATTTTAAATGATTTAAAACGATACATTTTAATATACACCATTGTGACAGCTATACCAAGTGTTCTCTTCTTATTTTGCTAGAATACCGCCAGCACTGATGATAAGAAAGTGTTGGGCCACTTGTCCACCTGGGTTAGTGTTGCATAACGGACACTTTCCGAACCTTCCAGATGATTCTGACGTGTTTCAGTTGCGCGCGCTGCCTACTTTCCATTTGAAAAGCAACGAAGTTCGAGACGACTAATAAATAGTTTTTTATTTCGCGCTAGATCCAAACAGTTCAATTTGCGTATTTTCTAAAAACAGTACATGGTAAATAATAAGCTATTGCAAATTGGGCGACTAGGTGCTGTTGCTTGTCCATAAAACAAAGAATCTCAAGAATTTTATCGTATATACATATATGTATGTATAGGGTCCCAGAAGAATGGGACAACTTTACCTGCTTGGCATGACTTAACAGACAGTAGTTGTTCGTATAAATTCATATGTAGTTCGTTTTATCAACATCACAATCACAGTATAAATTGTACAAGACTTCGTTAAGCTCATAATACTCATAACACCTCTAGGCTCTCGCACTGCGGTGAGTTACAGGTACTTTTCAAATCGTGGGCTTGCTTTAACAAGGTGTAATTGCAATTCGGGATTAGTGGGACATGATCTTAGTTGAGTATCGTTTACAAAATGTATGTACAAATTAAAAGTAAAGCTAGAATTTAAAAAAGTAAAATGTAGATGATACAATAGGAAGGCTAAGTTGTGTAAAGTGAGCCGCGAGTAGTACAGTATCTCGGGAGGAACTGGATGACTTTGTTCTTTTCTTGGAACCTACTTTAGGAACTACATTAACTTTTAACGTTAGTATAGTTAACTACGATAAATGCGATTAGGGCGTTTCTCTTTTAGAGTAATTTAGTCTAAAAATCATGGTATTTTGGCTAAAAGCACACACTCGACTTATTCTATATAAATATATGGTTTTCTCTATCCGTTTGTGCGGATGGAATCAGTCGGCATATAAATGCTACAAAAATTCACTCACACTCAGTCTCAAGCACACAATTATGATTGACTTAAGTTTATATGTTAAATAAAAACAAGATTAAACAAATGCGTGGAGAATGTTTACAACAAAAGATTGCGAAATCTTTGAAAATACATTAGGAATAACGATTTTCGGCCTCAGTCGGCAAAATGATTTTGTTAATATAACTATTTCAATATTAATTGCACGCACAAGTGCAATATTTTGGAATTTTTACATACAATTTTGTTGTACAATTATAAATTCATTAACTAATAAGATTGTTTTTTTTTTATAATAAGAGTACAAGAAGACACACAATGCAAGACAGTTTTGGTAGAGGTTTTTTCTGGAACAATTCTTTTTTCATACGTTTATGTTTTATTAAATAAACCGAAATTTTAGAGTACAATAATATTGAAATTCTGCTGCGAAGACGGAGGTGCAGGAATGCAAGTTGTTTGTTATTTGATGATCCAGTGCGCATCAGTGTCTAAAATGTCCCACGCTGTCTCTTCCTTTGGCTTCTCCATCGATCCTCCTGCTACTGACTTCGCTGCCGTTCTTGCTGCTGCCAGGATTCTGCGATGTGAAGTTAGATGGATCCAGAGACAGTTCTCGTCCGTCGTTGGTAAAATCTTGTCAGCATTTCGGCTTATTATAGTATGTCTAGAAGAACTATGCTGTTTGCCATATTCATATCCTACGTATTGGTAATGTTAGATACAAATCGAAAATCTGTTAATTGTGGCTAGCTTGTCATCCTATCAAGCTGCGGCTTATTGTTTGTTAATAGAGTGTGTTTAGTATATCTGTGTTGCATCTTTACACTTGATTACGGTCCACTGGCGCTGTCCCAACCTCCACTTATGGCAGTCAATGCCGGGAACGGTGCTCCTCACGCCTGTCGCGATCACGCTCTCGCTCGCGATCGCGGTCCCGATCGCGGTCGCGCCGCTCCCGGTCCGAGGAGCGATACCTCTCCCGATCCTCGTAGTAGCGCTTTGATGATGGCGCCTCTACTGCTTCGGCGACTACGGGTTCCGGAGACTTTCGTGGACGTACTGATCGGCTGTTGTAGGATTATGGTATTAACATAAACTCAGATCTTCAATTCGAGATTATAAATAAATCGCTTAATTGTCACCTTTTTTGGTTGCACAAATAGAACGAAAATATTCTGATAAGTTCAAACATTTGAGATTTAAGTGAACATCTTAACAGAAAGAAGATCATTTTAAAAAGCTTTTTTTAAATAAAGTAAGATTACTATTATTTTATATTTTATACAATTTCTCAAATATTTTATCATAAAGAATCAAGACTTTACAAATCTAAAATTGTTTTTATTGCAAAAACTTGTTATTAAAAATCTCTTTATAAGAAAACAAATTATGAGTTCGATGCTATCACATGAAGAAGAATGACAAATTCGTACGCAACTTTTAAATGAGACAGTGTAGCGAATTATAAACAGTATAATATTTTACCTGTCATCCCTGTAGTGATCTGGAGCCTGACGTTCACGTTCCCTGCTGCGTGACCTCTCCCTATAGCTTCTATAAAATAAATACACAATCAATATACAATTATATGCGAGGTTTAGGTTAACACATTGTAAAGCCAAATCTTACCCGCCATCCCGTTCACGCTCGCGATCCCGATCGCGTTCCCGCTCCCGAGATCGCTCGCGGTACCTGGACGTGGAACGCTCACGTCGCTGCCGGCTGCGATGGGAACGCTCCCTCGACCGCGACCTTTCGCGCCTATTGTAGCTCTTGGCCTCGATGCCATGCAACGTGTCCTGCAGCGAGCTGATCAGGATTTTGCATCGCTCATCGTGCGCTACCTTGGACTGTTTGATCAGTGAAATGGCTGTGACCAGTGTCTCGATGGCACTCGAGTATTCACCAGCGGCCGCATCAGAAACAGCTCTGAAAATAAATTGGCATACATAAGAGAATTGATTTTCGACCAACAAAGTAAAATCTTCGTTTCATATTTCACTGTTTTTTTTTTTTTTAGACCGGATCCTCGGCCTCATTTTATATGAGGGCCTTGCAATAGTTTAAACATTTCAAATTATGTATGAATTTGTCTTGAGAGTGGGTCAGTTTCAAACAAAAAATACAAGGTTTTTTTTGATTTGATTTTTTTTTCGATTTTGATTGCTGCTCAGCAGTGAATTGAAGGACTGTGCACTCACCTGGCAATCGCCGAGCTGCTGACTGTGCGATTTCTGCTCATCACCTCCTCGAACTCTACCTCCGTCAGTTGCGGACCCATCTGCTGAGGATCGGGGAAGGGACCTGGTGGCTTACCCTGCGGTGGCGGCCACGGACCGCGTGGTCCATGCTGGGCGAACTGTGGCGGCGGTCCATGCTGTGGCGTCATGTTCATGCCCTGTTGCGGTGGCATATTCATGCCTGGCTGCGGACCTGGGGCTCCGTGGGGCGGGCCACCCATGCCCGGATGCTGGGCAGGACCACCAGGCTGGTTGAAGAATGCCGGATTCACGTGGGGTGCGGGTGCGCCGTGTGGTCCGCCCGGACCTGGTGCTGGTGGAAGGCCACGTGGCGGACCTTGCGGGGGGAAACCACCGTGCATGGGTGGACGACGCCAGTCGGGACCTGGCGGACCCCTGACGGGCATGCCCATGGGGCCTCCTTGGAACTGCAAGGCAGAAGAGACAGAATTAGTTACTGTTTCCATTGATCGAATCGGTTTCTAGGCTAGGGTATGAGTTGGTGTTGCATGGGTTGATCCGTGGAATTACTTTAAATGTTCTGAATACATCGCTTAAGACTAAGTTAACTAAGGTTAACTTAAGTTGGGTTAGTCAGTCATCCTTTATCTTGCTCTCTTTCTGACTTCGTTAGAATTAAATTAGGGCATAGATACAAAGAGGACTCAGTGCTTTGGGGATTGTTACCATTGGTCGCTGCGGCGGTCCGTTCGGTGGACCTGGTCGTGGTCCGCCTGGCCGCTGACCTGGCCATTGGCCCTGCGCTGACGGATACCGGGGTGGCGGCTGTTGGTTGCCCATGAGCCCGCCTTGCGGATGCATTGGCGGCTATATTAATACGAATTACGTTTTATATTGGAGTAGTAGTTGTTGTTGTGGGGTAGAAGTGTGCGTAAGCGTTGTCAAAGACATGGAATAGAACATAAATCGTAATACATAAACATTTTGTATAACAATAGCGGGCGATTTTACAATTACAGATACTCGGGGGGAAATACATTTACGGAATTAAATCAAAAGTATATTTTATTTGAGCGGAGCTAGGAAGGCATTACGTACCTTTCTGGCTCTTGATTTTAATTTATTACATGTGCTTTTTTGTTCAAATTCTATAACTAGAGTAAAGAAAATAAAAACAAATACAATGGCCTTAGGCTGAGAAGTACTACAAAAATTGCTCTGAAATTACGTGTGAGTAAAAAAAAATAAGAATAGTACTTAAAGACTTAAATAAAAAACCTTAGAAACTTAATTTGTACGACCGCTTTAGTTTAGTTTATAAATTTCCAAATTAAATAATCAAAATAGTTCGGATATTTCAGATTGATACATCTCACAACTAAAGTCGTTTTATTTTTTTTTTTTTCTAAATAGTAAAACTTAGTTTGTACGATTAATTTACAAAAGAACATCGAACAAAAGTAGAACGTAACGTCTTCTTTTATAAACCATACATGAAGTCGTATATTTAGGGTTTCTAATTTTACTTAAGTAAGAAAATTTTGCATTCAGAACAATTTTGATGAAAATAGGAAATAATGTAGGAATGTAGAAACAAAACAAAATAGAACCG